TCACCATTGTAATGTGTATATTTGCTTTGTAAGGTATCATATCATAGCAAAATGATTTTCAAGAAACTCTGTAGGAAACTGAAGGAAATCTTATGAAAAAATTGTCAATTTTGTTTCCTTTGAAGAAGATCAGAGAATTCTGCCAAATATCACACCCATCATTACAACAGTTGTTGATGTATATATGTAATATTCATAGAAATTACAGTTTTTCTATGTAGAAGTATTTTTGTTGAGTTCACATGTGATGGCAAGACATACATGCACAGAAATGATACAACTATCACTTCATACTGGTCTTAATGCTACCATATGTCAGTTTGTATGAAAATAAAATATAAATGTTGGTAAATATATTGTGTTTGTACCGGTATTTTATATCTCCAAATATTTTCTAGAACATGCTTTTTAGAATTATCTGTATGTTAGGAATCCTTGAAATTGAGATTTTGTCACCTGCCCCAGGGCAGAGCAACTTTCAGAGGTCATTCATTGTTAGAGGTCCAATGGGAATTGGCCAAACCAAGATGAACCTCCTTGGCCAAACCAGTGTCAACTGTCTAAACAAAAGCAGGAGTAAGCAGGATCTGTATAGAAATCATAGAAGTCTAGCTGGTTTCTCAGGTACTCCAGTGGAAATTTTAGTTTCGATATCTTGTGTTCTGGACATGGTATGGTCAGGATTCTTGGGTAGTAAACGATAGTTCTTGTGGTAGGACAGGAGACAAGTTTGCAGCTTGTTCTGGAAGTGCAGAGGTTTTTAATCTTCCAAAGAGGGAACTGGAGAAAATGCATGCTTTTGGGTGTGCAACTTTATAGTTAGGTATAGACTTAGGGTCTAAGACTAAGCTTAAGGGGCTGGGCCCGGTAGGAATTGATTACGAATTACGCCAAATTTTCGCTGCCGATTACGAATTACGTTAAACTCTCAGAGCTGACTATGAATTACGTTAAATCATGAGGATTCCAGACTGTCTAAAACACAGCAACTAGTAGTTCTACGTCAAAACTATTGCCTTTGTTACAGTTTAACTTGTGAAAATTCATTGAAGCAAATTTGGATCGGCAGGAATACAAACACACACACCCACAAATAAACTAGAAAATGACAATGAAAACATAACCTTGTCAATAAGCGTGTCTTTGGCCCAAGCACAGCGACTTCAGTATCAGCTATAAGTTATGCAAATTAGGGCATACGTGACAAAGACTGTTGGACGAAGGAATGAAATCGTTGAACTCTAGTTGCAACTTTGTTCACATTACAAATCACGTTACCTACAAGAACCAATCAGCCTTTATCCCGTGACCTCTGGGCACGCCCTAGAAAGCGCCTGCGTGAAAGGAGTCGATGTTTGTTTGGATCTATGAGCGCCAGGCACGACTTGGAGGCCAGATAGTCTGTAATAAAGGTGAGTCCAACCTCCTTGTGATTTTCTACCTCCATGGTATAACGGCTGTATCGTTAACGTTATTTAACGTTACCGGTTGGTGACGTGAGTGGGCATTCCTAGGCTATTGCACATGGCTGTTCTTCCTTTATACTTAGCTTGTTGTCCAGATGTAACAGTTAACGTTACATGAAGGTTTCGCTGAGACATACTTTAACACTTCTGGTTGTAAACGAACGCGTGGTCACAGGTGCTATCGTTATAACTTTTTGACGATGGTGAAAAAAAATCCCAAATCTACTTTTAATAACGTTATCAAACCCCATACCATAATTTATCCTCCGTGTAAAATTCATTGCCAATATCTTATGGAATATTTCCAACATTTGTTTAGTCTTATGGTCAATTATGAAGTCAAGAATTAATTTAGGAAATACAGAAGGGTATTTTCGTAACGCATCGTGCATGAAAATTGTGGCCTGATGTCGAGTAAATTCATATCATATGAATTTACTTGACATCAGGCCACGATTTTCATATTTTTTATCAATTGATTTTAGACGTTCAGAGGTTCAATATGTAACGTTAACATGAACATTGTACTCGGATAGCTAACGTCTTCTTACGATCTTTGGTATCAACTACGGTATTGGTTCCTATACGATGTCCTTGTACATGGTTGGAGTGGTGTTGTTTACGACTTGGTCCAACTGAAGACAGGTAAGGTTGTCTCCACACACCTCCCCACTCCTGTGTACATAAGGTCATGATGGAGGTCAATGACCTTACGGCTAATTAATAAAAAGGTTTGTACCAGCTTTGGGGTGTAAAAGGTGACCTGTATGTGGTTTCACTTGATGCTAATTAATTGATGCCTGCATCAGAATGCATGGAAAATGTATTTTTGGGGTGTCACCTTGAGACCAACATAAGGTATTTTTTGTTTGTTTGTTTCCTGACACTCAGCAACATGAGTCAAGTGTCAGTTTTGGATGTGTTTGAAGACATGCCAGCCCAGGACAGCACATCTTTCCCTGACCCTGTTGGAGCTGAAGGGGGAGACTGTGTGGTGTGTGGAGACAAGGGGTCTGGCTTTCACTATGGTGTGTACAGCTGTGGGGGATGTAAAGGTAGGATGTCTTCACATAAGTGATGCATACCGGTTCACTGGACTTGGATCCGGACTTGTAAGAATGTTTAGGTTCAAGTCCAAAAAAACCTAAAAGTCAAGAACCGAGTCCAGACTTATTACCATAAAAGACCATTTCACGTACCCCTTTTCTTTCCAAACCACCTAAAACCTTCCGTAGATTGTAAAATCTTTGCTGCAAAACGAAGAAAACATTGCCATAGGGCATCGTCAAGTACCGGCCTCCATGTTATGTGGCCAAAGTTTCACCCAGACAACATTGCAAGGTTTCCAACATGCAATTTTGTATATGCCATGGGTTTAGGTCCGGACTTAAACCTCTGGACTTGAGTCCGGACCTGAACCTAAAATTGGGTTTAGGTATGCATCACTACTTCACATTAAATTTTAAATTCTCTCAAGATAATCCACTGCTATTATTGTACCCACTTGTTACCTTTGCCAACAATTATGCAAATTAGGAGCTAATTTGCATAATTAATAAGGGAATTCTATAGATCTGCTTCGTTTGATAATGGGACTATGAAACACTTGTGACGTAATTGAGAATGAGAAAAACATCTGAGGATATAGATTATGTAAATGAGGACCTAATTTGCATAATTAAGGCCATGTTGATTTGATTACATGGATGACCTCTGCGCGCGCATAAACTTTTGGCTGTTTCCCAAAAAAGTTTTCAGCCATACAGTAAATCGTACAAAACAGGTGCAAAAGGAGCAAATATATACCGTAAGTTGCAAAATGACGTAGAATGCCAAAATTAAACGAATAAGACGAAAATGTAAAGAAATTAATTCGAAGAGTAGATTATTCGCCATACCATACTCTGTGTCCTTTGTTCAACCTTCATGACCACATAGATTTCATAATGAAAGCTAACTTTTTTTTTGCAGAACTTTTTTTTTATTTGCACGCGCATCAGTTTTGGGGTTCCCAGAGGATGTCATCCATATAATCAAATCAACATATGGCCTAATAATATAATAATTTTATAGTTGAAGCTGCTGGGAACTTAATTCATACTTGCAGCATTTGAAAGTTAAGTGAAGGTGAACACCAATAAACATACTTTATTTAAATCATGATCTCATTTGCATAATTTATGAGGAAGTGCTTGAATAGCGTTTTTGATAAGGCTGTCATTGGGTGGAGAATATGATCAACTGATATAATCCATGCAAATTATTTGTGAAATCAATGATTAAAATTGTATAAGGGTTAACATCATGGTATAACGAAGGTATGAGATCGTGGAACTCTTGTTACATGTAACATAAGACCACAGTGATTTGACTTCATTTAGTTGTCTTGTGAATAATTGTGTTGAGCTGGAAGTGGATGTCACATTTATGATGTTGCAATAATGTTACTTTTATCATACATTAATGATATTACCAGTCAGTGCTAGTCTTGAAACAGTACTGTACACTCACATTACAGTACTGAAGGTTTGCCAGCAGGACCTTTAACATGTACCTTTATTGCTGTCCTCTACCCCAACAGCTACTCATTCATACTATAACTTCAAATCTGAGGTAATTTGCAGGTAATATTTCATGCTTCACAGTCATGTTCTGTTTCACCTCTAGGGTTCTTCAGGAGAACTGTGACAAAGGGTTACGTTAAGGCATGCAAGTCAGGGAGTAAGTGTAACATGGACATGTACACCAGGAGGAAGTGTCCTGAATGTCGTCTCCGTTCATGCAGGGCTGCTGGCATGAGATCAGAGTGTAAGACATTTTCTTGTACATTGTATGCATTTACACTAAACATTTTTCTTGAACAGAGTGCCTATAAGGTAGGCAATTTACTTTGAACACTAGCTTTTTACATTACTGTATTCAACTTTGCTAATTTCTGATATAGAAATACTACACACACACACACACACACACACACACACACACACACATATATATATACATGTGTATATTAAAGCACTCAGCAAACTGCAAGCACTTGTGTGTTTGTGTGTGTTTTTCCAGATTTGTGGTGAGCATAACTTAGAAGGCCTGGATGGATTGCAGCAAAGTGTCAGTACTTTAACATTCATGATGCATATTTTTGCAGGTCTTCTTACCCAGGCTCAGTGCAGGTCAAAGTTCCTTTATCGCAAAAAATCTGAAACACCAAAATCAGACCATCCCATTTCATCACCCAATCAGGAAGTGCCTGTTCAGCCACCACCCAATCAGAGCACTGGGACAGATGTGCAGCAGCAACAGAACCTAGTCAGCGACATTTCCAACCAATCAGAGACCTGTAGTTTGGGAGAAGTATCAGTTCCATCTACCAGTAGCACTCAGCCTTTTGAGACTGTGCCTGAACCAGTCTCTTTCTCACAACTCAATGACAGCAATGGCACCAACTTGGTCGATGAAATCATTTCCTCATTTATGGATTTTGGCTCTGAGAACCCGGTGTTAACTCGAACTGACTCAACAGGAAGTGATGACATGCTTTCTTTCTTAGCTCTCCTTGCAAACGAGACACAGTCAATTGATGAGAATGACCTTGACCCAAGCATAGGGTTGTTTGATGAAGTCCCTGCAACTACACCAATCCAGAGCAACAGCTCCATCGAGCATGCTGAAAACCTTCTCTCCCTTCAGAGAGGTGAAGCAAACTTGCAAGCGACTGTTTCTGCATCAACCAATGGGCAAGCATCAGAGGAGAACTCTGAATCGTCCACAAGTGATACGCCTACAGAAAGTGTCAATCAAGCTACCAACCCTTGTGATCTAAAAACAAACCTTCAGCTTTCCCAAAAACATCAGTCAGCTGATGAAGATAAGGCAACTAAGGAGCACACATGCAGCTTATTTAGACCAGGGAAGATACAAAAATTTGTGAGGCCAGATGCTGTTCAAAATCTTTCCCCAGAGTATCAAGCAATAGTTTCAGAAATTGCTACCTTTCGGAAGAGTTGGTGTGAAAAGCATCACAAGACACTGTGCGTACTAATTAAGGTACGTTTGCAGCTGTTCTACATGATGACATGATGCTATCAAGGATATACTCAGATTTATATTCAGGTTGTCGTAATATTGATCAGATTCAGTAAGGAAATTTTCAAATCTCAAGGACAGTCTGTTACATTTAGTTGCACAAGTTTAAGTGACCACCTCTACCTAAGAACCACCTGGCCAACGTGATCCCTTTTTAGTTTTCCCATTGACACACAAGCGATAAGAATCTTATCTCTTGTCAACTGAATGGTCTTTTTAACAGTTTTGACTGTATTTGTTAACTTGCCAGATACATCTATATGGGAACATTTTACATATCTGTTCAAAACCTCAACCTTTTTAGTGCCACAAACAGCAGAGAATATTACATGGTGTGGCAAACACATCTTCGACAATATGTAATACTACTAATACCGGTAATTTTTTTCATATTGTATAGGGAAGTATTCAAGATAATAGCAAAAAAGAAAGGCAGGCTCGTTTTGTTGCTTACATGGGTTCAGTGATGGAGAAGATGGTTGAGTTCATCAGGACTGTTGTTCATTGCTTTCAAGATCTCTGCATTGAGGACCAGATTGCAGTTGTGAAGGTAATGTTACTACATTGTAGTTAAATAATTATTCATTTGTCCATTAAGTAATTTCCATGCACACGTTTTTCCATTGTACAAACATCCATTTGTATTTAGGTTCAGCCATTTATTGACTTTTGGATAAACAAGTCTGCTAACATTTTGTGTTACTTTTTATCTAAGGCATCCTTTTTCGACTGCTGCATGATAAAGGTTCCTATCCTCTTGGCAAACTTCAATGGTGGTGTTCATGTCTTGAAACGCATCTTACAGGCAGGCAAGTCAAGCTTTCAAAAAAGTCATTGCAATACTGTGATCAAAAACTGATGATGGTGGGCTACATTATGAATGAATGAATGTTTATTTACGTGTCATTGCGACCATACGTCGCCCAGCCCATATGGGCTTATAAGACACTGACAATTATAAAATCATAACAATTCAAAAGGTACAGAGAGTCAGAATTAGATATAGCATAAATTATAACATATCATAATATATAAGTAAATAAATACAGGAAATTAAGTAGTACTGGTCATAATACAGAAATCAAATCAAATGTAACATAGATAATAGTTAACAATAACAGATAACAATAATAATTTAGGTTCAACCAAAATTTATAATGCATAAAAGTAACAAGAGGTAACTGTAACATGACTGGTGCATACACAGAATCAACTTAACAAAAAAGTGAACAAGTAAACGTAACAAGGAAAGAGGAGAACCAAACTGAAAATGACAGTAAGATGAAATAAGATCAACCTGAGTTTACGTTTTTTTTCAGGCCTGCTGTAAGTATGTCGCCGTTTCAAACACTTCCTCTGTAAATAACCATTTCAGTTTTGATTCATCCCTATCCCAGATAAGATCAGGTACATCTTTCCTTGTACATGTTATCAAAGAGTGCCTGACATAAGCTGTCATAAAACGGACAATAAAACATAAAGTGAGCCTCATTTTCTACTTCTTGTAAATCACACAGCAGACATAGTCTGTCCTTTTCTGGAATGCCCCGATATCTTCCCGTTTCAATACACAAAGGTAATATTCCAGATCTAAACTGGGCACAAAGAGATCTTTGTGATCTTGTAAGGGGTAAAGTAACATATTTTTCTGGAGAGAATGTGTCTTTGATTAACACGTAAGTCCTCAATTTTGGTTTAGACCATAATTCAGAGGCCCAGTATTGTTCATATTGAGAGAACATCACATCCTTGACGAGTCTAGTATCACCTCTGAGCCTATTTAAGAAGACATGTTAATGTTCGGAGTCACAAAATATTTCAAATAAATCTGTACTCCAGGGGCCTTTGTTACGTAGGTCCCATCTGAAAACCTTCTTAGTGATCCTGTCTTCATGCATATTCATTATGTGCTACATGTAAATATCAGAAAGACTGAGCTTAGTAACTTTCTGTAGCATTTACTGGCACCAGTCCTTAACTTCATAATTATTAAGAGACAGATACGTGGCTTAGTACATGTACTAGTATTTGATAAGTGAAAAAGTTGTTCTTAAGAATTTGCATAGTTCAGATGATGATGCATAGTTTAAAACAGAACTTTGTTGTAGTGTCTGTTATGTGTCATTTTTTTAAATCACAGTGCACACTGAAGTGTTCAACGCCACCCTGATGAAGTGGTATGAAGGGATGCTGGACCTGAAAATAGACATGACTACACTGGACCTCCTGCAGTGTGTGATAGTTGTTTCTCCTGGTAAGTACAAATTGAATGTAACAATTCTAAAAGAGTATGAAATGTTCATGTTTTATCATTACATCAACAAAAGTATTCAAATCTTGAAAGTATTTTGTTGACATTCTGCATACTGAAAGAAATGAAGTAGAAATGAGCAGATAAATCAAGTAAAAATGAATGAAGTTGTATACTTTCTTTTTAAAAAGTGTGACTTATCTTAATTTTGAAGATCGGCCAAATATCAAAGGGCGTGACACACTGGAACAGTCGTATGCACAGTACATCGAGTGTCTGCGTGCTTACTGCAAAGTCGCCTACCCAGAGAGCCACTTGATGTTTCACCGCCTGCTGAGTAAGCTGACGGAAGTTCGCACCATTGGCACAGCCTTTGGGAGAAGCATCAGCTCCGAGTGTGAGTCCATCATCAGAGAGCATCCCCTGGTTTCTGAGATTTGGAACCGCGACTGATGTAAGGGATTACAAGTGTTGAATTGAGCGGTCCTCTCAGCCTCAGATTTAATCCTATCTCAGGAAATCCTTGCTTAGCTCCTGGCATGATTTGACCTAATTTCATTATCTGTATCGTAATAGATATGCCAATTTTATCTCTCAAGATGACAACATGACCATAATGTACCTTGTAACAAGATTTTTTTCAAATACAAAATGTAATGGAATGACTACTAAAAAAAGACCTTTCCCTGTATTTGGGTTGGCTGGGGCAAATCTTTAAGTTGATGGAAAGATTGTGACTTTGCTGTATTTCTATTGAAGCTTTGGAACTATTCCTGTAAATTTGCATTAGATGCGGCATTTGCCTGGAATGATTAAATCCGTGTAACCTTAAAATCAGCATGTTTGATTAGCAAAATACAATTTCTATTGGGATTGCCACTTGTACAAAGTTTAACAGACTTCTCAACTTTTGAAGTTGAATACAATATGGAGCATAAGATTTTACACAGTAGTCAGCACTACGTACTGATAATCTGATTGAATTTTGAATTTATGAAAGTTTACTGTTAGCTCTTGTGTTTTGAGGGGCTATCTTGAGTATTCATAGAAATTACAGTTATTCTATGTAGAAGTATTTTTGTTTAGTTCACATGTGATGGCAAGACATACATGCACAGAAATGATACAACTATCACTTCATACTGGTCGTAATGCTACCATATGTCAGTTTGTGTGAAAATGAAATATAAATGTTGGTCAATGACTGTTGTGTTTTTTATTCATTGCAGATGTACCTGTATTTTATATCACTGAATATTTTCTAGAACATGTTTTCTAGAATATTTTGTATGGTTAGGAATCCTTGAAATTGTTAATCATCAGTCGTCACCTGCCCCAGTGCAGAGCAACTTTCAAAGGTAATTGGTTGGAGAAATTTTTAGAGGTCCAATGGGAGATGGCCAAACCAGTGCCAACTTCTGGTTTGGATATCTCGTGTTCTGCATGGACATTCTATGGTCTCATTATTGGGTAGTAACGTAGATAGTTCTTGTGGTTGGACAGGAGACAAGTTTGCAACCCCTAGCAGCCTGTTGTTGGAGTGCAGGGGCTTTTAATCTCCCAAGGAAGAAACTGGAGGAAATGCATGATTTTGGATGTGAACTTTATAGTTAGGTAGGTTAGAGATGTGAACTATGAAATGCAAATTATGCAAAATAGGACACCTGCCAAGAGAAGGCCCATGCAAACTCTTACCACACACCAAATATAAATAAAACCAATTCATCCAGCCATTCCTGACTTATCTGGTTGAGATCTTGTTACAGAGGCTGGCCAAACTATAACTCAGTTAACCTCCATTGTTCATGTTTACAGAAGGGTTGAGCTATTAAACCACTATTTCAGGCTACCTTTTTCGGCCCCAAGGGTTAATGTATGGGGGTGTGGCCCCTAAAGGTTTTCCACCTGTTTAGTTCTCACTTAATCAAGAGAATGTACAGCTGTCCTCCGTTAACAGCAAAGGTAACGTTAACGTTAACTACTATTTCATAAGGGAGCGTGTAAGACTAAGGGGCTGGGTCAGGTAGGTTAAACTTGTGAAAATTTAGCAAATTTGGACCAGCAAACACACCCACACAAATACACTAAAAAAAGGACACTGAAAACATAACTTTCTAGTCAATAAGCGTGTCTTTGGCCCAGGCAGGGACACTAAGCCACTTCAATATCAGATATACGAGACAAAGACTGTTGGACGAAGGAATGAAATCGTAGAACTCAAGTTGCAACTCAAGTTGCAAGTTTACAATTACAAATCACGTAACCTACAAGAACCAATCAGCCTTTACCCCGTGCGTGACTACGGCCCAGGCATGACCTCTGGGCACATCGGGAAAAGCGGCTGATGTTTGGATCTATGAGCGCCAGGCACGGTGTGCTGCGTCTGACTCCGAGGTTTTTTTTAGTGTCAAGAAGGCCAGATAGTCTCTAAGGTGAGTTAAAGCTCCTTGGTATAACGCCCCTAACGTTAGAGGGAGGGACACAGCTATTTCCTTAGCCAGTTTGGCTAGCTGGGCTGACTCATATGATAATTTAACATTTGTAAACAAACGCGCGGTGCCATAACGTTATATAAACTTGGTGATGGTGAAAAAAAAATCTAAATCTACTTAACACTAGTTATACTCCATAACATGATTTTTCACCAGTCTACAACATTGCAGTCAAATGCCAATATGATATTACATTTAGTTACGTTGCCATTTTAAGATATATTTTGAACATATTTGTTTAGTGTGATTGAAAATTCTTTTGATCAATTATGGATTCAATTTTGAAATGTTGCTGGCACTACAGACAAAAGATATTCGCTACATGTAACGTTATAATGTTGAAATCCAAACCTAGTACGTTACGTATCGTGCATGAAAATTCTGGAATGAATGAATGAACGTAATTGCTCGACAATCGTATATGGTACAATGTGTGGCAGTAATACAGCTGTGTATAATACTATTTCACTAACGGCGTGGCTATATACACTCCCGGAGTGTATATAAAAGACAAATAGATTTTATATACACTCCGAAATACTGGCCTCCTTGGTAGGCCCAAAACCTGGGTTTTTGTGAGTGTTTGAGGATTCAGGGGCACCAAGTTTAAACCTCGGTCTTGAAGTTTATCTTAGTGGATGATGAAAATCAGAAAACAACACGGAAATCCCCACCGAAGTTCGGTCGAGCGAAGAGCGGACCGCCCCGCCCCGCTTGCGCGGGGCCCGGGACCCTCCGCTCCCGGCGGCGAGACCGGTCGCGCGCCCCTGGCGTCCTCGCTACCTGGTTGATCCTGCCAGTAGTCATATGCTTGTCTCAAAGATTAAGCCATGCACGTGCAAGTTTAAACTGTCTCAGTGAAACTGCGAATGGCTCATTAAATCAGTTATGGTTCCTTTGATCGTCACATCCTACATGGATAACTGTGGTAATTCTAGAGCTAATACATGCGGAAGAAGCGCCGACCTCACGGTCTGGCGTGCATTTATCAGACCAAGACCAANTGACAGTAAGACGAATAAGATCAACCTGAGTTTACGTTTTTTTCTAGGCCTGCTGTAAGTATGTCGCCGTTTCAAACACTTCCTCTGTAAATAACCATTTCAGTTTTGATTCATCCCTATCCCAGATAAGATCAGGTACATCTTTCCTTGTACATCTTATCAAAGAGTGCCTGACGTAAGCTGTCATAAAACGGACAATAAAACATAAAGTGAGCCTCATTTCTACTCTTGTAAATCACACAGCAGACATAGTCTGTCCTTTTCTGGAATGCCCCGATATCTTCCCGTTTCAATACACAAAGGTAATGTTCCAGATCTAAACTGGGCACAAAGAGATCTTTGTGATCTTATAAGGGGTAAAGTAACATATTTTTCTGGAGAGAATGTGTCTTTGATTAACACATAAGTCCTCAATTTTGGTTTAGACCATAATTCAGAGGCCCAGTTTTGTTCATATTGAGAGAACATCACATCCTTGATGAGTCTAGTATCACCTCTGAGCCTATTTAAGAAGACATGTTAATGTTCGGAGTCACAAAATATTTCAAATAAATCTGTACTCCAGGGGCCTTTGTTACGTAGGTCCCATCTGAAAACCTTCTTAGTGATCCTGTCTTCATGCATATTCATTATGTGCTACATGTAAATATCAGAAAGGCTGAGCTTAGTAACTTTCTGTAGCATTTACTGGCACCAGTCCTTAACTTCATAATTATTAGGAGACAGATACGTGGCTTAGTACATGTACTAGTATTTGATAAGTGAAAAAGTTGTTCTTAAGAATTTGCATAGTTCAGATGATGATGCATAGTTTAAAACAGAAGTTTGTTGTAGTGTCTGTTATGTGTCATTTTTTTAAATCACAGTGCACACTGAAGTGTTCAACGCCACCCTGATGAAGTGGTATGAAGGGATGCTGGACCTGAAAATAGACATGACTACACTGGACCTCCTGCAGTGTGTGATAGTTGTTTCTCCTGGTAAGTACAAATTGAATGTAACAATTCTAAAAGAGTATGAAATGTTCATGTTTTATCATTACATCAACAAAAGTATTTAAATCTTGATAGTATTTTGTTGACATTCTGCATACTGAAAGAAATGAAGTAGAAATAAGCAGATAAATCAAGTAAGAATGAATGAAGTTGTATACTTTCTTTTTAAAAAGTGCAACTTATCTTAATTTTGAAGATCGGCCAAATATCAAAGGGCGTGACACACTGGAACAGTCGTATGCACAGTACATCGAGTGTCTGCGTGCTTACTGCAAAGTCGCCTACCCAGAGAGCCACTTGATGTTTCACCGCCTGCTGAGTAAGCTGACGGAAGTTCGCACCATTGGCACAGCCTTTGGGAGAAGCATCAGCTCCGAGTGTGAGTCCATCATCAGAGAGCATCCCCTGGTTTCTGAGATTTGGAACCACGACTGATGTAAGGGATTACAAGTGTTGAATTGAGCGGTCCTCTCAGCCTCAGATTTAATCCTATCTCAGGAAATCCTTGCTTAGCTCCTGGCATGATTTGACCTAATTTCATTATCTGTATCGTAATAGATATGCCAATTTTATCTCTCAAGATGACAACATGACCATAATGTACCTTGTAACAAGATTTTTTTCAAATACAAAATGTAATGGAATGACTACTAAAAAAAGACCTTTCCCTGTATTTGAGTTGGCTGGGGCAAATCTTTAAGTTGATGGAAAGATTGTGACTTTGCTGTATTTCTATTGAAGCTTTGGAACTATTCCTGTAAATTTGCATTAGATGCTGCATTTGCCTGGAATGATTAAATCCGTGTAACCTTAAAATCAGCATGCTTGATTAGCAAAATACTACTTCTATTGGGATTGCCACTTGTACAAAGTTTAACAGACTTCTCAACTTTCGAAGTTGAATACAATATGGAGCATAAGATTTTACACAGTAGTCAGCGCTACGTACTGATAATCTGATTGAATTTAGACTTTATGAAAGTTTACTGTTAGCTCTTGTGTTTTGAGGGGCTATCTTGAGTATTCATAGAAATTACAGTTTTTCTATGTAGAAGTATTTTTGTTTGGTTCACATGTGATGGCAAGACATACATGGCGATTGGGAAACTTCCATGTATCAGTGCAGGACTTACTTCTGGTCTATACGTCATTTGTCAGACCTGTGGTTGAATACTGTGTTCCTGTATGGAATCCTGGACTCACGTGCAAACAGATCACAAGATTGGAGCATGTTCAGAAGAGAGCTCTGCGCACAATCCTTAAAGGACAATACAGCTCCTACGACGCAGCCCTGCAGTTGACAGGACTCAAGTCATTGAAGGACAGAAGAGAGGACCTATGTCTTAAATTTGCTACAAAACTGAACCCTGATCTCCTACCTCCTAAGGTGGGTGAACTCTCAGGAAGACACACAAGGAACTCTGAAAAGCTAAAAGCTACTAAGTACAGAACCAACAGATATAAGAACTCACCAGTACCATACCTGGTTCGCATATTGAACAATTCCTCCAAATAATGTGTATCATATTTCTAGGGTGGTTAGTCTGTCCTCTAGTCTCAGTTATTTTGTATATTTTTGTGTAAGTACTTAATATATGTTTGTAACTGTTAGTTTTAATGTTAAAATTGTATCTGTTGTTTTTAAGTATGTCAATGTATAATGATATGGATTTTATTGAGTAACTAGTAATTTTAGTGTGTTATGCCAGACATGTCAAAAATCAAAATTGTACAGCAAGACACAATTTAGCTGATGGCTACAAGGTTTTGTTTTTATAAATAAACCATTTGATTGATTGATTGATTGATACATGCACAGAAATGATACAACTATCACTTCATACTGGTCGTAATGCTACCATATGTCAGTTTGTGTGAAAATGAAATATAAATGTTGTGTTTTTTATTCATTGCAGATGTACCTGTATTTTATATCACTGAATATTTTCTAATGTTTTCTAGAATATTTTGTATGGTTCGGAATCCTTGAAATTGTTAATCATCAGTCGTCACCTGCCCCAGTGCAGAGCAACGTTCAAAGGTAACTGGTTGGAGAAATTTTTAGAGGTCCAATGGGAGATGGCCAAACCAGTGCCAACTGTCTAAACAAAAGCAGGATCTGCACAGAAGTCTGGTTTCTCAGGTATTGCAGTGGAACTTCTGGTTTGGATATCTCGTGTTCTGCATGGACATTCTATGGTCAGGATTCTTGGGTAGTAACGTAGATAGTTCTTGTGGTTTGACAGGAGACAAGTTTGCAACCCCTAGCAGCCTGTTGTTGGAGTGCAGGGGCTTTTATCTTCCAAGGAGGAAACTGGAGGAAATGCATGATTTTGGGTGTGAACTTTATAGTTAGGTAGGTTAGAGATGTGAACAATGAAATGCAAATTATGCAAAATAGGACACCTGCCAAGAGAAGGCCCATGCAAACTCTAACCACACACCAAATATAAAACCAATTCATCCAGCCATTCCTGACTTATCTTGTTGAGATCTTGTTACAGAGGCTGGCCAAACTATAACTCAGTTAACCTCCATTGTTCATGTTTACAGAAGGGTTGAGCTATTAAACCACTATGTCAGGCCACCTTCTTCGGCCCAAGGGGTAATGTATGGGGGTGTGGCCCCTAAAGGTTTTCCACTTGTTTAGTTCTCACTTAATCAAGAGAATGTACAGCTGTCCTCCGTTAACAGCAAAGGTAACGTTAACGTTAACTACTATTTCATAAGGGAGCGTGTAAGACTAAGGGGCTGGGTCAGGTAGGTTGAACTTGTGAAAATTTAGCAAATTTGGACCAGCAAACACACCCACACAAATACACTAGAAAATGACACTGAAAACATAACTTTCTTGTCAATAAGTGTGTCTTTGGCCCAGGCAGGGACACTAATATCAGATATACGAGACAAAGACTGTTGGACGAAGGAATGAAATCGTAGAACTCAAGTTGCAACTTTGTTTACAATTACAAATCACGTAACCTACAAGAACCAATCAGCCTTTACCCCGTGTGTGACTAGGGCCCAGGCATGACCTCTGGGCACATCGGGGGAAATCGGCTGATGTTTGGATCTATGAGCTCCAGGCACGGTGTGCTGCGTCTGACTCAGAAGTTTTTTTTAGCGTCAAGAAGGCCAGGTAGTCTCTAAGGTGAGTTAAAGCTCCTTGGTATAACGCCCTTAACGTTAGAGGGAGGGACCCAGCTATTTCCTTGGCCAGTTGTACATGAACGTTTGGCTAGCTGGGCTGACTCATATAATAATTTTTAACACTTGTAAACAAACGCGCGGTGCCATAACGTTATATAACCTTGGTGATGGTGAAAAAAAATCAAAATCTACTTAACGCTAGTTATCATACTCCATAACATGATTTTTCACCAGTCTACAACATTGCAGTCAGATGCCAATATGATATTACATTTAGTTACGTTGCCATCTTAAGATATATTTTGAACATATTTGTTTAGTGTGATTGAAAATTCTTTTGATCAATTATGGATTCAATTTTGAAATGTTGCTGGCACTACATACAAAAGATATTCGCTACATGTAACGTTATAATGTTGAAATCCAAACCTAGTACGTTACGTATCGTGCATGGAAATTCTGGAATGAATGAATGAACGTAATTGCTCGACAATCGTATATGGTACAATGTGTGGCAGTAATACAACTGTATAATACTACAAAACTAAACTACCTGAAATGATGTCGAGATTTTAGACGTTGTTTGTTTCATGAGGTTCAATATATGAACTTTGTACTTGGATACCAATCGTCTTCTTACAACCTTTCGTCCCTATACGGTGTCCTTGAACTTGGTTAGAGTGGTGTTGTTTACTACCTGGCCTGAAGGCAGGCAGTCTCCAAACACCTCCCACAACCACTACGTGCCCCACTACCACTGTGTACATAAGGTCACGATTGACGTCAATGACCATACGGTTAGCTTTGCACCAGGTGCGATATCACTGGTGTTACCAGTATGACGTGTGCTATTTTGGTGTGTGTGTGTGTGAAAAGGGTGACTTCAGTGTGGTTTCATTTGACGCTTATTGATGCCTCCATCAAAATACATGTATATGTATTGTTTTGGGGGTCACCATGAGACTGACATGAGGTAAATTTTTTGTTTCTTTTTACTTTCTTCCTGGCAGTCAGCAACATGAGTCAAGTGTCAGTTTTGGATGTGTTTGAAGACATGCCAGCCCAGGACAGCACATCTTTCCCTGACCCTGCTGGAGCTGAAGGGGGAGACTGTGTGGTGTGTGGAGACAAGGGCTCTGGCTTTCACTATGGTGTGTACAGCTGTGAGGGATGTAAAGGTAGGATGTCTTCACTTTACCTTTCTATTTTCTCCAGATAATGTGAGATCTTGAACTGCTCTTATTGTATCCACTTGTTACATTATTATAATATAACATAAGACCAGGGTGATTTCATTTAGTTGTCTTTTGAATGATTGTGTTACTTTTATTACAAATTAATGATATTACCAGTCAGTGCTAGTGGTGAAACAGTACCGTACAGACAAATTATACTACTAATGGCTTGTCAGCAGGAGCTTTAACTTGCGCCCAGCAATGTTGCAATCTTCTACCCAACAGCTACTCACTCATACTATAACTTCAAATATGTTTGTGGTGGATTAAGGAATTTGTAGGAAACATTTCATACTTCACTGAGTCAAGTTCTGTTCCACCTCTAGGGTTCTTCAGGAGAACTGTGACAAAGGGTTACGTTAAGGCATGCAAGTCAGGGAGTAAGTGTAACCTGGACATGCACACCAGGAGGAAGTGTCCTGAATGTCGCCTCCGCTCATGCAGGGCTGCCGGCATGAGATCCGACTGTAAGATATTTTCTTGTAATACTTGAAAAGATTTGCTTTAAGCAAGGCTTTAAGTTAGAGTCTTAGACAATTCACGAGTCAAAACACAAGCTTTTTACATTCTTCCTATATTCAACTTTACCATAAGCACCCAGCAAACTGCAAACACCGACTCTGTGTGTGTCTGTGTGTGTGTGTTTCTCCAGATATGTGGTGAGCATAACTAATAGAAGGCCTGGATGGATTGCAGCAAAGTGTCAGTACTTTAACATCATGCTGCATATTTTTGCAGGTCTTCTTACCCAGGCTCAGTGCATGTCAAAGTTCCTTTATCGCAAAAAATCTGAGGCACCAAAATCAGACCATCCCATTTCATCACCCAATCAGGACGTGTCCGTTCAGTCACCACCCAATCAGAGCACTGGGACAGATGTGCAGCAGCACAAGAACCTGGTCAGCGACATTTCCAACCAATCAGAGACCTGTAGTTTGGGAGAAGTTCCATCTAGTAGTAGCGCTCAACCTTTTGAGACTGTGCCTGAACCAGTCTCTTTCTCACAACTAATTGACAACAATGACACCAACTTGCTTGATGAAATCACGTCCTCGTTTATGGATCTCAGTTCTGAGAACCCGGCTGTGTTAACTCGAACTGACTCAACAGGAAGTGATGACATGCTTTCCTTCTTAGCTCTCCTTGCAAACGACACACAGTCAATTGATGAGAATGTCCTTGACCCAAGCATAGGGTTGTTTGATGAAGTCCATGCAACTACACCAATCCAGGGCAACAGCTCCATCGAGCATGCTGAAAACCTTCTCTCCCTTCAGAGAGGCAAAGCGAACTTGCAAGCGAATGATTCTGCATCTGCAACCAATGGGCAAGCATCAGAGGAGAACTCTGAATCGTCCACAAGTGATACACCTACAGAAAGTGTCAATCAAGCTACCAACCCTTGTGATCTAAAAACAAACCTTCAGCTTTCCCAAAAACATCAGTCAGCTGATGAAGATAAGGCAACTAAGGAGCACACATGCAGCTTATTTAGACCGGGGAAGATAAAAAGATTTGCGAGGCCAGATGCTGTTCAAAATCTTTCCCCAGAGTATCAAGCAATAGTTTCAGAAATTGCTACCTTTCGGAAGAGTTGGTGTGAAAAGCATCACAAGACACTGTGCGTACTAATTAAGGTACGTTTGCAGCTGTTCTACATGATGGCATGATACTATCAAGGATATACTCAGATTTATACTCAGGTTGTCGTAATATTGATCAGATTCAGTAAGGAAATTTTCAAATCTCAAGGACAGTCTGTTACATTTAGTTGCACAGGTTTAAGTGACCACCTCTACCTAAGAACCACCTGGCCAACGTGATCCCTTTTTAGTTTTCCCATTGAGACACAATCGATAAGAATCTTATCTGTTGTCACCTGAATGGTCTTCTTGAGCAGTTTTGACTGTATTTGTTAACTTGCCAGATACATCTATATCAGAACATTTTACATATCTGTTCAAAACCTCAACCTTTTTAGTGCCACAAACAGCAGAAAATATTACATGGTGTGGCAAACACATCTTCGACAATATGTAATACTACTAATACCGGAATTTTTTCACATTGTATAGGGATGCATTCAAGATAATAGCAAGAAAGAAAGGCAGGTTCGTTTTGTTGCTCACATGGGCGTAGTGGTGGAGAAGATGGTTGAGTTCATCAGGACTGTTGTTCATTGCTTTCAAGATCTCCGCATTGAGGACCAGATTGCAGTTGTGAAGGTAATGTTACTACATGTACATTGTAGTTAAGTAATTATTCATTTGTCATAAAATGGCCCAGAAAAGTAATTTCCATGCACACGTTTTTCCATTGTACAAACAACCATTTGGATAAACAAGTCTGCTAACATGTTGTGTTACTTTTTATCTAAGGCATCCTTTTTTGACTACTGCATGATAAAGGCTCCTATCCTCTTGGCAAACTTCAATGCTGGTGCTCATGTCTTGAAACGCATCTTACAGGCAGGTAAGTCAAGCTTTCAACATCAAACAAATCATTGCAATACTGTGAAAACTGATGATGGTGCTACATTATGTGCTACATGTAAATATCAGAAAGACTGAGCTTAGTAACTTTCTGCAGCGTTTACTGGCACCAGTCCTTAACTTTATAATTATTAAGAGACAGATACCTGGCTTAGTACATGTACTAGTATTTGATAAGTGAAAAAGTTGTTCTTAAGAATTTGCATAGTTCAGATGATGATGCATCATTTAAAACAGAAGTTTGTTGTAGTGTCTGTTATGTGTCATTTTTTAAATCACAGTGCACACTGAAGTGTTCAACGCCACCCTGATGAAGTGGTATGAAGGGATGCTGGACCTGAAAATAGACATGACTACACTGGACCTCCTGCAGTGTGTGATAGTTGTTTCTCCTGGTAAGTACAAATTGAATGTAACAATTCTAAAAGAGTATGAAATGTTCATGTTTTATCATTACATCAACAAAGTATTTAAATCTTGATAGTATTTTGTTGACATTCTGCATACTGAAAGAAATGAAGTAGAAATAAGCAGATAAATCAAGTAAGAATGAATGAAGTTGTATACTTTCTTTTTAAAAAGTACAACTTATCTTAATTTTGAAGATCGGCCAAATATCAAAGGGCGTGACACACTGGAACAGTCGTATGCACAGTACATCGAGTGTCTGCGTGCTTACTGCAAAGTCGCCTACCCAGAGAATCGCTTGATGTTTCACCGCCTGCTGAGTAAGCTGACGGAAGTTCGCACTATTGGCACAGCCTTTGGGAGGAGCATTAGCTCCGAGTGTGAGTCCATCATCAGAGAACATCCCCTGGTTTCTGAGATTTGGAACCACGACTGATGTAAGGGATTACAAGTGTTGAGAGAAATAGCGACAAGCTATGATGATGAGTGTTGAATTGAGGGGTCTTCTCTTAGCTCATGGCATGATTTGACCTACTTCCATTATCTGTATCATAATAGATATGCCAATTTTATCTAAGATGACAACATGACCATAATGTACCTCAGTTGCATTGTAAGAAGATTTTTTTCAAATAGAAAATGTAACGTTAATTGAATGACTACTAACTTAAAAAGACATTTCCATGTATTTGGGTTGGCTGGGGCAAATCTTTAAGTTGATGGAAAGATTGTGACTTTGCTGTATTTCCATTGAAGCTTTGGAACTATTCCTGTAAATTTGCATTAGATGCTGCATTTGCCTGGAATGATTGAATCTGTGTGACCTTGTAATCAACATGTTTGACTGGCAAAATACAAGAAAGATTTCTATTGAGATTGCCACTTGTACAAAGTTTAACAGACGTCTCAACTTTTGAACTTGAATGCAATATGGAGCATAAGATTTTACACAGTAGTCAGCACTGATAATCTGATTGAATTTTGAATTTATGAAAGTTTACTGTTAGCTCTTGTGTTTTGAGGGGCTATCTCGAATTACACTGAGTATTCATAGAAATTACAGCTTTTCTATGTAGAAGTATTTTTGTTTAGTTCACATGTGATGGCAAGACATACATGCACAGAAATGATCAACTATCATTTCATTCTGGTCTTAATGCTACCATATGTCAGTTTGTGTGAAAATGAAATATAAATGTTGGTCAATGACTCAATATGTTATGTTTTTTATTCATTGCAGATGTACCTGTATTTCATATCACTGAATATTTTCTAGAACATGTTTTCTAGAATATTTTGTATGGTTAGGAATCCTTGAAATTGTTAATCATCAGTCGTCACCTGCCCCAGTGCAGAGCAACTTTCAGAGGTAATTGGTTGGAGAAATTTTTAGAGGTCCAATGGGAGATGGCCAAACCAGTGCCAACTGTCTAAACAAAAGCAGGATCTGCACAGAAGCCTGGTTTCTCAGGTATTCCAGTGGAACTTCTGGTTTGGATATCTCGTGTTCTGCATGGACATTCTATGGTCAGGATTCTTGAGTATAAACATAGATAGTTCTCATGGTTGGACAGGAGACAAGATTGCAACCCCTAGCAGCCTGTTGTTGGAGTGCAGGGGCTTTTATCTTCCAAGGAGGAAACTGGAGGAAATGCATGATTTTGGGTGTGAACTTTATAGTTAGGTAGGTTAGAGATGTGAACAATGAAATGCAAATTATGCAAAATAGGACACCTGCCAAGAGAAGGCCCATGCAAACTCTAACCACACACAAATTATAAAACCAATTCATCCAGCCATTCCTGACTTATCTTGTTGAGATCTTGTTACAGAGGCTGGCCAAACTATAACTCAGTTAACCTCCATTGTTCATGTTTACAGAAGGGTTGAGCTATTAAACCACTATGTCAGGCCACCTTCTTCGGCCCAAGGGGTAATGTATGGGGGTGTGGCCCCTAAAGGTTTTCCACTTGTTTAGTTCTCACTTAATCAAGAGAATGTACAGCTGTCCTCCGTTAACAGCAAAGGTAACGTTAACGTTAACTACTATTTCATAAGGGAGCGTGTAAGACTAAGGGGCTGGGTCAGGTAGGTTGAACTTGTGAAAATTTAGCAAATTTGGACTAGCAAACACACCCACACAAATACACTAGAAAATGACACTGAAAACATAACTTTCTTGTCAATAAGTGTGTCTTTGGCCCAGGCAGGGACACTAAGCCACTTCAGTATCAGATATACGAGACAAAGACTGTTGGACGAAGGAATGAAATCGTAGAACTCTAGTTGCAACTTTGTTTACATTACACATCACGTTACCTACAAGAACCAATCAGCCTTTACCCCGTGCGTGACTGCAGCCCAGGCATGACCTCTGGGCACATCGGGGAAAGCTGCTGATGTTTGGATGTATGGGTGCCAGGCACGGTGTGCTGCGTCTGACTCAGAACTTTTTGAACGTCAAGAAGGCCAGATAGTCTCTAAAGTGAGTTTAACTTCCTTGTGGTGTAACGGCTGTAACATTACCACATTACCTGTTGGTAAAAAACGTTAACCTTAGTGGGAGGCTAAGGCACATAACCTTTTCCTTGGCTAGTTGGCCAGGTGTACATCATAGAGAACGTTTGGCCGAGTCATAATTTTTGTTTGTTAGTCTGATTAAAAATTCTTTTGGTCAATTATGGATTCATTTGAACTGTTGCTGGCTTTACAGCCAAAGAAATACGTTATTATAAATACCGAAGTGTTTTGAAGACAGATCCAAACCTGAAACGTATCGTGCATGAAAATCGTGGAATGATGTGGAGATGTTGGCACACGTTGTTTGTTTCATGAGTTTCAGTATAACTTTATAACATGAACTGTGTGTACTTGGAAAGCTAACGTCTTCTTACAACCTTTCGTCCCTATACGGTGCCCTTGTACTTGGTTGGAGTGGTGTTGTTTACGACCTGGCCTGAAGACAGGCAGTCTCCAAACACCTCCCACAACCACTCCTGTGTACATAAGGTCACGATTGAGGTCAATGACCGTACGGTTAAGCTTTGCACTAGATGCGATATCACTGGTGCTATATCTTTGGGGTGGAAAAGGTAACTTCAATGTGGTTTCACCAAACCTTTGTTTCACATGACACTCATTGATGACTCCAATCTATTAAATTTTGCTGCAGGTTGTCCACTGGGCAACCTGGTTCAAAAAAAGTATTTTGTACACTGCTCTATCACAATAGATGTAACATGTAACAGTTAAATGTATTGTTTTGGGTCACCACGAGACTGACATGAGGTAAATTTTTTGTTTATTTATTTATTTTCTACTCTGTTCCTGGCAGTCAGCAACATGAGTCAAGTGTCAGTTTTGGATGTGTTTGAAGACATGCCAGCCCAGGACAGCACATCTTTCCCTGACCCTGTTGGAGCTGAAGGGGGAGACTGTGTGGTGTGTGGAGACAAGGGCTCTGGCTTTCACTATGGCGTGTACAGCTGTGAGGGATGTAAAGGTAGGATGTCTTTACTTAACCTTCATATTTTCTCCAGATAATGTGAGATCTTGAACTACTATTATTGTATCCACTTGTTGCATTACTCTGAGTATTATAGCATTTAGTTGTCTTGTGAATGATTGTGTTGAGCTGGAAGTGGATGTCACATTTATGATGTTACAGTATAAATGTCACTTTTGTTATAAATAAATGATATTATCAGTAAGTTGTAGTGGTGAAACAGTACTGTACAGTCACATTACTACAGTACTGAAGGTTTCTCAGCAAAAGCTTTACATGCACCCAGCAATGTTGCAATCTTCTACCGCAACAGCTGACTCATTCATACTATAACTTCAAATCTGAGGGAATTTGCAGGTAATATTTCATGCTTCATGCAGTCATGTTCTGTTCCACCTCTAGGGTTCTTCAGGAGAACTGTGACAAAGGGTTACGTTAAGGCATGCAAGTCAGGGAGTAAGTGTAACATGGACATGTACACCAGGAGGAAGTGTCCTGAATGTCGTCTCCGCTCATGCAGGGCTGCTGGCATGAGATCAGACTGTAAGATATTTTCTTGTATGCATTTATAATCATTTTATTTTTCTCAAAAAAGTTTGCTTTAAGCTAGACAATTCACTCTAAGCACAAGCTTTTTACATTCTTCTTGTATTCAACTTTACCATAAGCACCCAGCAAACTGCAAGCACTTACTGGTCACAGGTGTTTCTGTGTGTGTGTTTCTCCAGATTTGTGGTGAGCATAACTTAGAAGGCCTGGATGGATTGCAGCAAAGTGTCAGTACTTTAACATTCATGATGCATATTTTTGCAGGTCTTCTTACCCAGGCTCAGTGCAGGTCAAAGTTCCTTTATCGCAAAAAAACTGAGGCACCAAAATCAGACCATCCCATTTCATCACCCAATCAGGAAGTGCCTGTTCAGTCACCATCCAATCAGAGCACTGGGACAGATGTGCAGCAGCAACAGAACCAAGTCAGCAACATTTCCAACCAATCAGAGCCCTGTAGTTTGGGACAAGTATCAGTTCCATCTACCAGTAGCACTCAACCTTTTGAGACTGTGCCTGAACCAGTCTCTTTCTCACAACTCAATGACAGCAATGGCACCAACTTGCTTGATGAAATCATGTCCTCATTTATGGATTTTGGCTCTGAGAACCCGGCTGTGTTAACTCGAAATGACTCAACAGGAAGTGATGACATGCTTTCCTTCTTAGCGCTCCTTGCAAACGACACACAGTCAATTGATGAGAATGATCTTGACCCAAGCATAGGGTTGTTTGATGAAGTCCCTGCAACTACACCAATCCAGAACAACAGCTCCATCGAGCATGCTGAAAACCTTCTCTCACTTCAGAGAGGTGAAGCAAACTTGGTAGTCCAAGCAAATGTTTCTGCATCAACCAACGGGCAAGCATCAGAGGAGAACTCTGAATCGTCCACAAGTGATACACCTACAGAAAGTGTCAATCAAACTACCAACACTCAGGGTCTAAAAGCAACCCTTCAGCTTTCCCCAAAACATCAGTCAATTGATGAAGAGCAGGCAACTGAGGAGCATACATGCAGCTTACTTTTTGGAGAAGGTCCAGGGAAGATTAAAAGAATTGCAAGGCCAGATGCTGTTCAAAATCTTTCCCCAGAGTATCAAGCAATTGTTTCAGAAATTTCTACCTTTCGGAAGAAAACGTTTGCAAGGGATCACAAGATGATGAGCGATCTGTTCAAGGTACATTTGTAGCTGCTCTACATGTTGTCATGATACTGTAAACTTTTATATATATATATATATATATGTTATGCCACACTGATTTTATCTTATGGATGACATCTGTGCGTGCATTGATTTTTGTGGCCGTTCGCTAAAAAGAGAATGCCGGTTCCCCCCCCCCCCCAACACACACAAAAAAGATCACATACTCCGAGGCTCTGGCCTGGGTGCCATCCTCCGTAGTCCATGGTACAATGTAGCTAGTAACAATAGACAGCTAACTACTAATAGATAGATAACTATGGAGGATGGCACCCAGACTACTGAGGCACCAGGACTCAAGAACTCAGTACATATTTATGTGCATTAATGATTCATAAAATCTGCAAAAGGACAGCATATGCCAGCTTGTCGTATACGTTGCTATGTACTACCGCAAATTCATGATACAAGCTATGTATTTCTGCTTAGCAGCATTTTTATTTTGGGCAATAATTTTTTTTATTCCCCCGCATGCAATAGGGGTCTTCAGAGGATGTCATCCATAAAATTAAGTCAGTATGGCCTTATTTATATTCAGGCTGTTGTAATATTTATCAGATTCAGTTTGGGAATTTTCACCTTTATGGACAGTTTGCTAAATTTCAGGTTTAAGTAACCACCTCTACATAAGAGCCACCATTAAACCGTTTTTTAAATTTCCCATTGACACACAAGCATTAAGAATAGCGACCACCTGTCCACATAGACCAGATTTTATTGGTCACGTGAGTGGTCTGTATTCTTGGCAGTTTGACTGTATTTGTTAACTTGCCAGGTACATTCATATCAAAACATTTTACATATCTATTGTAACTCTGACCTTTGTAATGCCACAAACTGCAAGGAATAAAACATGGTCCATCAAACGATATGTAATACTAATAGTATTTTTTTCCTATCGTATAGAGAAGCAGTCAAGATATCAGCAACAAAGAAAGGCAGGCTCGTTTTGTTGCTCACATGGGCGTAGTGGTGGAGAAGATGGTTGAGTTTGTCAAGACTGTTGTTCATTGCTTTCAAGATCTCTGCATTGAGGACCAGATTGCAGTCGTGAAGGTAATGTTACTACATTGTAGTAAAGTAATTATTTATTGCCTTTTCAATTTTTATGCCCTCATGTTTTCCATTGTACAACAATTTGTATGTAAGTTCAGCCATTTAGTAACTTTGATAAACAAGTCTACTAACATGCTGTGTTACTTTTCATCTAAGGCATCCTTTTTCGACTGCTGCATGATAAGGGTTCCTGTCGTGTTGGCAAACTTCAATAATGGTGTTCATGTCCTGCAACGCATCTTACAGGCAGGCAAGTCAAGCTTGTAACATCAGATAAATCATTGCAATACTATGATCCATAACAGATGATGGTGGGCTACATTGTGTGCTAGATGTAAATATCAGAAAGACTGAGCTCAGTCCTGCTTAACTTCATAATTGATTTTAGAGACAGATACCTTGCTTAGTATTTGACATGTGAAAAAATTGTTTTTAAGAATTTGCATAGTTTAAAACTGAAGATAGTTGCATTATCTGTTACCTGTTCTGTTTATCACAGTACATACTGAAGTGTTCAATGCCACCCTGATGAAGTGGTATGAAGGGATGCTGGACCTGAAAATAGACATGACTACACTGGACCTCCTGCAGTGTGTGATAGTAGTTTCTCCTGGTAAGTACTTGATAGTATTGTAAAATGACATTTTGTAAACTGAAAGAGATGAAGTAGAAATAAACAGAAGAATGAATGAAGATGTATACTTCTGACCTTTACATCTTATTTTCTTTTTAAAAATGTGACATATTTTCATGTGTAGATCGGCCAAATATCAAAGGGCGTGACATACTGGAACAGTCGTATGCACAGTACATCGAGTGTCTGACGTGCTTACTGCAAAGTCGCCTACCCAGAGAACCGCTTGATGTTTCCACGCCTGCTCAGTAAGCTGACTGAAGTTCGCACTATTGGCACAGCCTTTGGGAGAAGCGTCAGTTCCGAGTGCCAGTCCATCATCAGAGAACATCCCCTGGTTTCTGAGATTTGGAACCGCGACTGATGTAAGGGATTACAACTGTTGAATTCAAAGGTTTTTTCTAGCCTTATGGTGGGGACGTAATTCCATTATCTGTATCATAATAGAAGTATGCCAATTATACCTCTCAAGATGACAACATGACCATAATGTTTGTAGCTGCAAATTTTTTTCAAGTAATGAATTGACTACTAAAACCTTTCCGTGTTTGGGCTGGCTGGGGCCAATGCTTTACATGCACAGTGTTTGGAGTGAGAGGAGTTTTAAATATTGATGTTTGATTTGTGTACAGGTCAGTCATTATTTCTCGTTTTAATAAGTTGATGAAAAGATTGTGACTTTGCTGTATTTCAATTGAGGATTTGAGCTATTGAACCATTCTTGTAAATTTGCATTAGATACTGCATTTGCCTGGAATGATTAAATCCGTGTAACCTTGTAATCAACGTGTTTGATTAGCAAAATACAATTTTTATTGGGATTGCCATTTGTACAAAGTTTAACAGACTTCTCAACTTTTGAAGTTGAATGTAATATGGAGCATACGATTTTACACAGTAGTCAGCACTGGTAATCTGATTGAATTTTTAATTTATGGAAGTTTCTTCTTAACTTTTTGTGGTTTGAGGGGCTATCTTGAATTACATTGAGTACATGTATATTGTACATGCTATATAAGCATGTGGAAGAGATTGCCTCATCTACAAATTTGCTGCTAATTTAACTTGTGAAGCTTAGACACTGCAGAAACATGTATGTAGAGTGCCTTATGGTGGAACTGAATTATAGACAAGCAAAGTTATACTTGTAGGGCTGTTTTTTGAATGCAAAATATTTTACTTTACAAGCTGATGTAACATTACATGTATATATATGTATATTCATATTAGCTGGGATAACATTTAGCATACATGTCATGGTGACTTTAGTAAGAACCTCCTTGGTAAGATCTACTAATGCTGAATAATCCCTGAGGTATGCACACGTACAAGATATTCTTAAGAAGGCCTCGAGAAAGCCATTTTTCTAATGTGGTCGTCTTAATTAATGTACGACTGGCATACTGGTAAATAAGAGCTAAAATTACAGACATACTGGACATGTATATGTATATTGTATATCCCATTGTATCAAGTTGCCTGTAATGTTGCATAATCTGTTGAACACTAATACCTTTATATCATATGAGGTTGATTTTCAACTCTACCTTTTATACAAGCACTGCCTGCTCATTGAAATGTAAACATATTGGTTTTAAATGAGTGTACTTGTTATTATTTTTTACAATAAGGTATTGGTAATGTAGAAAGTAAGATTGGTCAGCGGGTGGTGTTGTGTGGCTTAACTGTCGAAAGCCATGCATGAGAACATAGCATCGCATTGTTCTTAGGGCTGACTACTTTTTTGCTGGCACTGAGTGGTTGTTATTGCAATATAATTAAACAAGAAATCAGATATTTCAGACTTCCAGGATTGTAGTGGGTATTTGTGAATGTTTTGGAACTGTGGTGGATGATTAGAGACCCTGCAGCAATAGTGGATTGAACCTCTGATTGTACAATGTATTAAGTAATTTGCTCCCATGATTGCACCATCAGTACCTGTCTTTCCAGGGTTCAAAGTTCAGAGGTCAACTTTGAAACACACCCAGAAGTAAAACCGGTTTTTGACACGTCTAATATACTCCTGATGACGCACCCCTCTGCGTAGACAGCAATTATCTGCAATAATTGCCAGTATTTATGAACTGATTCAGGGGACTGAGAAAAAGACTACCATTTGTGATATTCTTAATCTCGGTCCAAAGTCTCCAGTCGATACAAATATAAGATGAAATACCTTTACCTCTTACTAATCATTACAGCCACCACTATAACTGTGACATTTAAAGAAATTGTTGAGGCTGAATCTGGTGGACTCAACGCTAAGGAAAAGTCATGTAAGCAACCTTTCATTTCTGTTTCTCTTTACTAGGTGATAACTGTTAAGTTCAGCTTGGATTATATCCTTCAGAAAGAGTCTTCCTTCCTAAAATAATCATTAATGTTATACTGCTTGTGTGAATGTACTTCTTGGAATGAATGTATAGATAGTTGATAAATTATTGAGAAAGCAAAACCCAAAGAAAACCATTCTGGTGATATCACTTGTTTTTTTACACTCATATTTTGTGACTAATCAACTTCGAAAGTTCAAGTGTATGTAATTGTGCAATTACTAGTACCTCAATTAAGACCTATCTATGTATTTGTAGTGATAAGCATTCTAGCTGAAGCGAGGAAGTTACGTTGGGATGATGGAGAGGAGTATGCCATTGGAGAACTGATGAGAGATTTAGACGAAGGAGTGGACCCAGAGAAAGAAGGTACAAACACTATACATTGTACTACTACTGTACAGAGTATTTTGTCAACCTGATCAGAGCCTGTATGTGTGTGCATGTGTGAGTGAGCATGTGTGGCTGTGGTATAGCTCTGTTATTCTAAAAATCAAATATTTCATATGTACAGTTTAGTCCAGACTGTGCATGATGTACAAAATGACTAATAAACTGGTGGATGTACCAACCACTAAGTATCTGATACCAGCCCAGAAAAGAACAAGAAACAGTCATGCCTTCAAATATCAGAGTTATCAACCAAGAAGTGAGGTATTAAAAAACTCGTATATCCCCAGAACTATGATCGTAGACTGGAACTCGTTGCCACCAAGCACAGCTGGGGCATCATCACTAGAAAGCTTTAAACAACTCTTGCAATCAAATGTGCAAAGATTGAGTGTAATAAGTCGTTTGGTGTGATATAGCCAGCTGCCGCCGCGCCGCGTGCCTGCGAAGCAGGTGTGTTACGCCGAAGGGCGGTTATACCGGCTATATCGATACAGATACAGATAGTTCTTATCCCATGAGGTTCTTCCTGTCAGCACTGTGACCCAATATTTAATCAATGCTTATCAGTAGATTCTACAAGGATTTCTGATTCTTACCCAGATGAAGAGATGAAGATCGGTGTGGAGAGGTTCACAGACCAGCTGCAGAGGTTCTCGGACCAAGACAGAGAAAAGGGTATGCCCAATACTGAGAACTAATTCATAACATTATGTATGATATATAATGTACTTCAAATAATGATGTGTGCAGTCGTGGTGACACCAAGAAAATCACAATCTCCTTTTTATCAAAATTTTACACAATCTCCTTTTTACAGACTTCAAGCCAAGTTTCCACAGTTCATATGTAGGTGGTTTGAAAACCTGTGGTAAATAAATAAATACCAATAAATATTTGAAATATGTGGTGTAATTTTTGTGACAAAGGTTCCTGTTGCTATAATTGTATTTTTTTGTGTGCTTTTTTTGCCAGTTGGAACCTTTAAAAGAATCATCTACATAGAATTCTTCATTTATCACCATGAAGAATACATATTGACAATGTTTCACTTTTTTTCATGTTACCTGAAGTCAAGGAGCTGTTTCGTGAGAATCTAGGACAAGCAGAGACTAAAAGTCTTTTCCAGGATGCCAGCAAGTTGGCCAAGGAGGAGGATGAAAGTAAGAAATGTTTTCTTGTGATTTTGTTCCATCCTTGTGACACTGGATAACTTATGCAAAAATTTTACAATTTATTCTTGCAAACCAAATTGTGTTGAAACTAAACTTGATTTTGAAAAAGAGGGGGGGGGGCAAGGAAATGGGGGTGATTTAACAGATGTGACATCTACTTATATAATACTGTCACTACTGACGGTAACCATAATACGGCCAAATTACAAATGATGATTTCAGAGAGATCTGCAATGCTATATTATATAAAATTATATTATTACCTCCATGAAATGTGTCATGGAGGTTATATTTTCAGTTGCGTTTATCTGTCCGTCCGTCTGTCCGTCCGTCTGTTGGTCAACAAGATAACTCAAGAACGCCTGGATGGATTGGTTTCATACTTGGTGTGTTGGTAGGGTGTGACGAAAACTGGAAATGATTAGATTTTGGGCTCCCTAGTGGCTTCCCTTGGTACTGCAGCGCAACTTCCGGTTTTGATATCTCGCGATCTGGACATGCTAGGGTCATTAAATTTTGATGGAAGGTAGCTCTCGTGCTTGGGAAGAAGTCACGTGAGTTTGGGCCCCCTAGCGGCTTGTTCTGGAACTGCAGGGCACTTTCTGGCGAAATGTTTAAAAGCCAATAAGTCCAGACAGGAACAACATATTTTCATTATTTTTGGTGTGTAGGTAGCTGAGAGAGAGATGTACATAATTAAATGTAAATTATGCAAATGAGGACTTAATTTGCATAATTAATGAGGAAATTCTATAATTACAGTGTTTTACATTATACTACTTACATACATGTAATGTATGTAACCTATGGCAGGCGGAACTTCAACAGATACTAATTATGCAAATGATGACCTAATTTGCATAATTAATGCGAAAATTCTATGATTTCGTAATGGTGAATGATGAGAATGTCATACTTGGGACATCTGTAAGTTAATCAAAAGTTAACATACATCACGATGCATATATCATGTTAATGCAGAGGTCATTTGCACAATTAAAGAAGAAATTAACATTTACATATCAAGATCATATTTCATGGAGGTATGAGATCTCGGAGTTCTAGTATTATATTATATTATATTATATTATATTATATTATATTATATTATATTATATTATATTATATTATATTATATGCACAAATTTTTAATTGCTTACCTGCCTAAATGAAACTGTCATTCATCAAGTTAATAAGATGCTAACTTTATCTGTGCTGATATCAAATAACTGTTTATTTCTTTATTGTCATCATACAGAACTGAAGGAGCTAAAGAAGGATGTAGGTTTCCAAGAGGATGAGAAAAAGGCTTTCAAGGAGTTGGTTTCTGATGTTGTCAAAGGCACTAATGTAGAAGCAAAAGGTATGAACCTATCTTTGCATGTAAACCTAACTCTTGCAAGAGAAATGTTTGAGAAACAAAAGTCAGCATGTTTGGTACTAACTTCAATCAAGGATGTTTTACAAGTGTAAATGAAGGAATCAATATGTAAGTAAAAGTATATCTCTCTCATAAGGTTTTATGATGTATGATGTATTGTTGTTGGAAAAACAATGCACACTACATGAGACTTTGAGAATAAGAAATTTCAATAAGACCAATGATGCTTATTTTGGTCTGCATTGCTTTTCCAGCAGGAGATACTGAGTTGGCTTTGATGGCGAGTGCAGGAAAAAAAGTGGACAAATTGAAGGAGGAAGACAAGAAACGACGTAAGATTAACTTCTCTTACTCTTTAATGTTTATACCAAGAAAATCCCATACTTACATGTAAAATTATATACATGTATCCAGAGTACATGATGACATGTATACAGAGTAAAATCAATGGCCATTGATTGTACTTCAAATGAGCCTCCAGAAAACAAAGACTTTTGTTCAATTTCCTCAGTGCAAGCCATGATAGCCAGCCATTATGGAGAAGATCAAGCAAGAAGAGTCTTCGATATGGCCAAAACCATTGAAAAAGAGGAGGGAGACAAGAATCAAGCCAACCAATAGCCAACCAATATGTATCATCAGAATCAGTTTATAATGTAAGGTTGAGGATGTATACAATATGGCACATGTTATTGGTGTTCTGTACAGTCTTGCCATTCCAGTCCTCATGACTGGCATTGGCATTTTTACAAAATCAACTACATTTTGTATTCATTTTCAACCTATCAATAACCCTTTCATGTAACACATTCAAGAAAACTGCTATACAACACACCTTGTAGGTAATATCCACACCAATAATGTGATAAATTAATACTAAACACAATACCCAACATGTAATACATACTTAATGTAACATTCTGTTTCTTTCAATAAAGTCTGGAAGGTTCTCCCAACACTAGTTGTCTTTTTCAGGGTCGAGGGTCTGTGTTTTGGTAATGCTCAGCTAACCTTTCCTGTTCTCTGTCTTTACTTGAGAAACGTTTGATAAACCGGTCCCACAGTGTGCGATGTTTTCTCATTTCTCTCTCTTTTTCTCGGATTTCTTCATCACTGAAGAGGACGTTTTTGTGCCTGAGATAGAACCTGTTGAAGTTAGCTACGATGGCGGGTGAAGGTATGGCCAGGACAATAAAGCCACACAGGACACACATCAGTCCTCCTAACTTCCCTCCGACGCTTCTTGGGTACACGTCGCCATAACCTACCGTTGTCATTGTAAAAACAGCCCAATAAAAAGTTTCCGGGATGCTTTGGAAATCTCCCTCAGGGTGATACATGTCTGCAAAGTACACGATGCTTCCGAAGAGAATCATGAGAATAGACATGAAGAAAACAAGCATCATGACGGAGCCCATACTTGCGAGCAAGGTTAGGATGATGAGACGCATGCCGGTGATATGGCGAGTGAGCTTACAAATCCTGAAGACTCGAACGACTCGAAGGATCCTCATAATCAAAGCGCCGCTTCCAGATGTCTGTATGTTCGCGACTATCAAGATGAGGGTAGCGAAGTATGGTAGGATGGCAACAAGGTCTAGAATGTTCAAAATGTCCTTTAAGAATGCCTTTGGGTCCGGACAAGCATAGAAGCGGATTACTAGCTCGAAACAGAACCAGATGATACAAGCTGTTTCCACGCGGAAGAAGCTGCTACGGAACGCCATTGTCAGTCGATCAGACAGTGTGTCATCCTCGCCGAACTTTAACACATTCTGCTCACTGTATATCGGTATTGTCTCTACACAGAAGGCAGCGATGGACACAAAAATACTGATATCGAAATAATGCTACAATTCTTGCCAGCAGCGAGGTCTGTGGGTATTCGAAGACAATCCATATGGCTCTCTGTGGTTCAGACTCCGGCAAGACGTCAACTTCCAGCGGGTCGACTTTTTGACTACAACCGTCCGTTTCCAGAAAGTTTTCAATCACGTCCTGGCCCATGTCGAAGTATTTCAACTCGTTGAAGAACACATCCATGGGAACGTTGTGAGGCCGGGTCAATTTTCCGGTTTGGTAGTAGCGAAAGATTGCTTCAAAGCTGGGCCGGTGGCGATCTATGAAGTACTCGTCAGTGTCCTGGCAGTAAAACCTCTGTCTGCGTGTTTCATCTCCGAGTAGCGTGTCTGGATAACGATGAAGAATATGTTCTCTCGTCTCAAACATGAGGCCACTGACATTGAGGCATATCCTTCGGTTCAGATCTGTGATGCAGCTTTGCCCTGCCGGACAGTCATGGACCGAATCTGGTGCTTCATGAAGGAATGGGAATGATTCTTCTGAGATGTCTTCTTGTTCTTCTTTATAATAATGTTTTGAAACGACTGAGATTGTGCTCACAAACCTAGCCATGTTTCTGCTTTGGAGAATAATACCATGGAACGTCTGATCTTGAAGGGTTGCTACGGCAAAGTGTTATCTGAAATCCAGAAATGCAAGTTACACGCAAGAATCATGGAAAGTTTCGTGATTGTGGTGATACATAGAATTTGAGCATGTTGGCAGAACTTACAGCGCCTGCGCGAAAACACGGTTTCTGTTAGATGTCAACGTTGCATCAGAATTTTGTCCGTTGCAAAAAATAGCTTTTCCGACGCAACATTTGAAAACTACAGGCGGGGTATCTTAGTCTCCACCAGACTCCTCTGCAGGCTGAATAAATAGTAGATATCGCCCTAGACCTGATAAAAAGAATGTAGCTGGGCGGAGGATTTGGCCAGCCACAGAGCTAGAGGGTCCAGTTTGCCGACTAGGGATATCCGAACACGAGCTTCAACTACGTATACGTCCTTTCCGGATTTCGCGCAGTTGCAGTAAACGTTCTGCTCGGACGTGCCTCGTGTAGTCAGAGACGTTAAAAGTGCCCTGCCTCCCTGCCAATCACGGCTCTAGAAAGTACCTTAGCAACCATACCGCAGTAACTACAACAACATGCATAGGTTTAGGACATCATGTACAATGTTCTTGGCCCTGAACCTTGATGTACCCCCAAGGAGGTTCTTTGAACCTTCTTGATGTACCTAGAGGTTACTAGTACCAAGATTTCATGTCAGGATCTCGGAATACGGTGTTGGGAGACCATTATGGCATTAGGAAGGTTTTTCTGCATGATCAACCCCTGACCATCGCCTGGGGCCTTATTGACCAAATATGTATTTTTATGTGCATTCGTAGGAGTTATTAAAGTTTACGAAATTGGAAATGCAGTAGTCAGTCCTAAAGGCACAGTTTCATGCTATATTGCTATGCCTGAAACACTCGGGAATGTTGCAAACACAGGAGACGTCTTCGGTCTATGCCCTGATGACAAGTTGCAGACAATTACAAAGTAGGTCGCAAGACACAACACCACCTTTGATGATCATTTCATTCATTTGTCTCTCAAAAGCTCAAATAAGAGAACGTTCTCGTCCATATCCCAAAGTATGACATTTCGGCGCGGGTATTTGTAACCTCTGGTTTGTAGGTCAAGACACCATTTCCATGCTTCAAGGTACTCACCTTTTACTTGCTGCAGAAGCATGTCTTGTTTTCGCCTGATTTCTCCAGCTTCTAATACAGTCGCTGCTACTTCAAATCGAGCTCACTCTTCAATACAATGTAGTATATTTTAGTATACTGTAGTTTGTTTTTCCTACAGAATATGTCGGAATGTCCAGTGGACCTGCTCAACCACCTGTTCCCGAACAGTTGTTGTGGCACAAATGGCACAAAAGGTCGTCACCCTGTCATATGTCCAATAGCCCGTAGGGGGCTAGTCAGGGACCACAATAGGGGCACAGTTCCTTTGTAATGGCGGGACATGTGATACACATTTAGTACAGATAAACGCGAGTACCTACAGACATTTACAGGAGGCACTGCTCCTCGGATCAGCAGACCCTATACTTACAAGTATAGTTACAGACAAATTTGAATATGACCTTGTTAAAACGTACAATAGTTTCCATGGCCAAGCTATCGGTGCATAAAAGTGACCACTTTGAAAACTGACCACTTACGTAGATATTGCAAGGTGATAATTTGTTCTGATGATTTTAAATAAGCTGATTCTAGCAGTGTATTGCCCAGGTGAGATAATCCACTTTAAACGCATGAATGACTGCCAGATAAATGATTACTTGGAAACAAAGACGTCTCCCAAGGTGATTTGTGTTTTTATGTTTGTTTGTACCGGTTACCCATAATGCCATGTTGTTAAACAGGTTGTGGCACGTCCCTGTGTGTCAAAGGGCAATGAATCGTCCAGTGAACCTTGCTTAATTCTTTGCCCCACCTCCCAGTGTGAGGTAATCCATGTAATTACTATGCACCATTTGGAGTGAAAAAAATCGTTCATACGTTCGCAGCCCCATGGTTTGCTTGCCGCTCTGTGTATAAAAGAAGGCCAGGCGGACAATTAGCAAAAGAATCACACTTTTTTTATTGAACCAATGAGCTAATAGGGGTAAAGAATCCACTCTCCTGAACCATATACATTGACTAAAATCAATGCCCTTAAACTTGAGAGTATTGAGTTAAATGTGAACGAAAACATAAGATTAATTGTCCTCTATCACTTTATTTGAAGTAGATATGTTTATCATAATGTATTTTGGCAACTAGAGCAAAGCAATGCAGATCAGCCTTGAATTTTGAGACCACGTGTTTGCCCAATGCCCTGTCACTGGACTCAACCAATCAGATCCCTCTTAGGTCAGTGGTTGAAAAACCGGTTGGAAATGACCCCGTGAGTCAGTAGTCACATAGGCAGAACAGCTTAACTTTGTTGTTAGGCTCGTCTCTGCTCAGGTTTTGAATGAGATGAGGACGTCCTCGCTAATCATACTGTTACTGGGAATCACGTTTCCCGGCTTCGAGTCTGTACCACAAAGTCTGGATGGAGAAGCAGAATCTAAACGTGCGTATAGTTTGTAGAACGAAGTCAGGTTCAGTTTGCTTGCGTACGTAGGTGACAACTCTTCACATTGTACATGCAGACATCTATATATTCAAGATATATAAAATGTCATAGTTTGATTTCTAGTTCTTCGTAGAAAATACCTTCTCAGATCTTTGAAAAGCGATTTCTTCTTTAACTTGCACACTTTTACAAAACAAAAAATTAAGTGCTTAATGGTATTTCATAGTCTTCGACAGCATGGTCTAATTAGTTTGAAATGGTTTAAATCGCATCTGCATCTACATCAATATTTAGTGCTGAGCATATTGCAAGCAGCGAAGGGAATGAAATGGAACCAGCAAGTGGAAGATGGCATGAAGAAGATCATCGAAGACGAGGAGGGTGGCATGGATCCCGAAAAAGAGGGTTAGCACTCATCCTTTTGAATGTTTATGAATTGCAATGGGTTATTCTGATCAGTTGTTATTAATATATCATGATGTATGTGTGTTGGCAAGTGAAAGTAAAACCGTCTATATACGAGCCACAATGTCTTCATGCCGTTGTTGGACACAGATCAACAAAATGTACTTCTATGGCTGTCGGAAAGCCACAGGAAGTACAATATATCAATTCTGGCAGCGACAGGTAAATATATAAATATGTATTTGGCCCATACTAGATCTAACTTCGATTCGTTCAATTCTTCTTGTCAGCTGAAACCGTCAGGGATGAAATTGCCGTGGCGTACAAGAGGATCCTGATGCTCAACCCAAGCGACGAGATGCAACGTATGTACTGTCTTATTCCTTCTGACAACAAACAAACAAACAAACAAACAAACAAACAAACAAACAAACAAACAAACAAACAGCCTTACCAATAGCCCAATGACAGAAATGTCAACAAACAATCTTCAAAGTGTTATCAACATATCAATTAAGCGTATTATCCAGATATGATTTGAAAATGTCTCATAAAAATTATAATATTACCAGTGGGCATTTTCGATGTAGCAATGTTTTCTTCTATCTCTTCAGTGAAAGACGATTTCCGAAGAGTTCTTGGATCTGAAGAAGCTGAAGATATTTTTGATGAAGCGGAGAAAATAATGTGGCAAGAGCTTCAAGGTAGAAATTGATAGTCATGTGATTAATCTTTCTGTATACTTTTGTAAAAGAAAAACATATAATCATACACGGTCACTAGATCCTAAGAATATCTTCTGGGCGACGCCCTGAGAGATGCTTTGGAATATCAATTGGTCGGACAAGCTCACTATTAAAGGCGGCTTTGACGTAATGTATCAGCTACGACCTTGTTTCTATAAAGTATATCATCAACTACTTGTGTTTTGACACGACTTCTTATCGCGGCAGAGCAAGCGAGGATTGACAAAGAGCTCAGCCTCAAGACGAGCCAAAAGAAGGCTTTCGACCAACTGGTGAAGGACGTGAAGCATGGGAAAGATCCGTCTCAAGAAGGTAAGTCGTGCCAAGACTTCCAATTCGCGTGTACGTGTCCATACATACATACATACATACATACATTACTTTAACTTTGTCGTGACCGTTTCTTGTTATTCATGCCTAGGTGAAAGAGTTGTGAAGAAACTTAAAGAAGACGCTGCCAAGATACTGACATTGTCCCCACAGGAGCAAGAAGAAGGTTTGTTTATGTTATGGATTTGTCGGAAATGCTTAGTTAGTAACAAATATAGTTTGGCACATGATTCACACAATCACCTGCATATGTGACAGCGTTTCAATAAACGACAACGATGAAGTTGATTTGAAGTTAAACCTACAGCTCATCTAATCCTGCAAATGTTCTTTGTAAAGACAATTGGATGTTTGTTTACTTTGAAGAAAAGTACAAATTCTACGCAGAGTATGGAGAAGAAACCGGTGAGAAAGTGTTCCAAGCGATCAAAGCCATCAACGAAGCGGAAGTTGAGAAAGGCAAGTGGTAGTAGGTTCAGTGACAGAGGTCTTGTGTTGCCTACAACAGATATATTTAGCCACCCAAGGCACTTTTGAAGTAAAAAAAATATCATCTAAAACGTATTCAAGCTTATGGCGACTGTTCTGTGTCAACCCTCAGAATATATTTGGAGTAAACATTTGCAATAATCAAGATGTTTTTTTACCAACTTCAAGCTTATATATGGTATGGGGTGCAAGCAAGAACTCCAGCAATAAAAATGTTTGTTGTCTTACATGTCGTTTTCTCTTTGGGTTAACATCCTTCTGTTTGGTGTTTTTCTCGGACAATGAAACGAAGAATTATGTCAACTCGATTTCTATCTATGTTCCTTTAAGCTGCTGCTTCCACACATGAGGAGGTGCAGGGACCAGCTACTGCTGCCCGTTAAAGACAAGAACAAGATACCAATGGTTCTTTCCATTTCAGGATATACAGTTGTTGTTTGAAGTAGTAAACTGTGGGTATACATAAGGATATACATGAAACTGGCATTAAGTGTAACAATGCTAGTATAAGACTCACGACCCAAAGAATATTTGAGATCTCTAAATCTGAAGAACATTGTATTAACACAAGGTCGTACAAATGAACAAGCTTGAGTTCCTAATAACTTGCTTCAGATCATGAATGGTTGTTTACGCCTATGTTTGACACTAACTTTACTCTGTATGAATGTAAATTCCTACGAAGTAAATAAAACTTTCATTCAATGTGATAATACGTTATCAAGTGTTATCACAAATAGGGTGTATTCATAAATACCGGTGTACTCGTATTCATTCCTTCCAATTGGTGTTTGATGTGTGTCCTTTTTCAAAAGAGTGAGGAGAAAATGTTCACAAGACACAGTGGGGAAATACCATTAAAACAAGCGTTCCGAGATCTCATACCTCCATGAAATATGGGCTTGCTTTGTCCTCCATAATTATGCAAATAACCTCTACATTAACATAATATATGCATAGCGACGCAAACCTTTTAGTAACTTACACATGTTACGAGGTATAAAATTCCCATTATTCACCAATAAGGATTCACAGAATTTTCACATTGATTATGCAAATTAGGTCATCATTTGCATAATTGGTATCTGTTGATGTTCCGCCTGCCACAGATTAAATAGGTTACATGTATAGCAGTACCATTATATGAAACACTGTAATTATAAAATTTCCTCATTAATTATGCAAATTAATTCCTCATTTGCATAATTTGCATTTAATCATGTACAACTGTCTCTCAAGTACCTACACACCAAAAATGATGAAAATATGTTGTTCCAATCTGGACTTATTGGCTTTCAAAGTTTTTACCAGAAACTAACCTGCAGTTCCAGAACAAGCTGCTAGGGGGACCAAACTTACGGAACTTATTCCTGACAGGATTAGCTGTCAGTCACCAAAACGTCAGGACCATAGCTTGTTCAGGACAAAAGATACAAAAACCGGAAGTTCTGCTGCAGTACCAAGGTCATCCACCAGGAGGCCCATACTTAACCTTGACCTTTGTCTTTCCAAGACTTACCATCACACCAAATATGATCACAATCCATAAAGGCGTTCTGAAGTTATGCTGACTACAAAGTTGCGGAAACACACACAGACACACACACAGACAGACACACAGACAGACACACACACAGACATACATACAGACAGACACGCCAAAAACAATACCTCCATTTTTCATGGAGGTAAAAAAAATAACGGCTCTCAGTGGCCAATGTGCAGATGTTGTCACATCGGCGCACCAAATCCGTAAGGTGTTTTTGGCACCCAGACAGACAGGTTAGCCTAAGAGGCTCGGTGGGCGTCACACCATAATCATCTCTGTGTACCAATGATCCTCGTGTAGACGCCAAGTGAAAGCAGGGGAGGGTTTGGTTTGAACACGTCACAATCGTAACTGTTCTCTGACGCATGTGCTTGTACACTGCCTGGAGGCACGCAGTAATGATCCTTACGTAGGTGGGGTCACGCAAATTAATGTCTCAAACAACCGGTTCCTGACACACACGGAATCACGGATAGAAATCACACCCCTCTTGATACGATTTCAGAAGATTCACGGTTACCAGACTCCGTGGTGACATGAAGTCTATTGTTACTTGTCTGTTGTTTCTTGCTCTGCTTTGTGTGCTGAGAGATGTCTACAGTGCCGCTGTTGGGAAAGGGGAGAAGCAACGTAAGTAAAACAACACATAACGTGTCCACTCTTCGACACTATTAGTGGTACAGTTAGTTTCCTAAGTTTCCAATATTAACCCATGTTTTCTGAATGGTAAAGTAGAATTTTTCGTGTGCAATTGTTCCTATAAAAGTTCTATATATATTTGATCTCGATTTTTCACTTTTTTCATACAAAAGAAAAAATAACGTCATCATAAAGTGTTTGACCTTCAAGTGTAACCTCCAGTGTAATTATGGCGGTAACATGGCGGCTTGTTTACGCCCATATTGTTGCCCTATTGTATCTTCCTGGTGACGCACAAGGAAGGCGGGCAATTTTAGCTTCTACCTGGTCTCAAACATTCACATTTAGTAACTTTCGTAGGTTTCTAATGCAGGAAGAAGACAATCGGCAACGTCCGTCAAGAAATATGTTCATTGATGAGAGTAAAATGTTGACATACACCTGACACAAAAGTTGACAAATGAGACAAAATGAATGTACAAAATAACTGTACAAAAGCTCTGAATATTTCTTAGTGATCTGAGGTCTCCGAACTCTTGTTATTCTTTGCAGTTCTAAACCAGTTAGGCGATAAATTGAAGTTCAACGAAAATGAGGAGAAAGCTGTCGAGGAACTGATCGCTGACGAGAAGGGACAGACGGACTACGAAAAAAACAGTAAGTTCCAACAAATTACCGCTGTTGTATAAACTAAGCCACAGAAATGGCAACATTTCCAACAACGATGAAAAGGCGAACTCCTCTTCATGTGATCAATAATTATGCTTTGTCTGTTCTTTAGATGATCTGTTCCGGGTGCAAGTTGATCAAATTGTGGAGAAATTAAAAGTTCTTGACGACGACGAGATACAGAGAGGTAGGTGACTAACCATATATCGGTTGCTTTGTGAATCCGTGATAAGATATATATTGTTTCATAGCAATTTTATTTATTCTTGTGTCTGGAGAAGATTTTGGCGTGGTTATGATATGTAGAATGTTAGCCAGGTGTTGCAATTGTACAGATGCACGTCGTTTATGGGCCTCATAGCGGCTTTCCTTTCTGTTCCCGAACATCAAGTATAAACTAGAGAGGATCCATTTCTCAAGCTAACCGACTGAGGGACTATTGTGGTGTGATAGTTGTCGGTTAGCTGAGGAATGAATCCTCTCTGCTTTATAGTGTTCCGGATATGTGATGATTTTTTGATGACAGGAAGGTTTTTGGGAATAACTGTTATAGGTTTGGGACTTGTACTGTGTAAGAAGCGTGTTTAAGAACTGTGTTTTTCTTATAATGACATAGAATGGAGTCATTTATGGCCGAAAGTATTCCACACAGAGCAAAAAGTGAATTTGACAAGACGCTGGTATTACGTTTCAGTGAGACACCTTTTCACCAAGAAGTTAGGAAATGTAGCAACAGACAAGATCTTCCTGGAGGCACATCGAATCTATCAAGACCAACAGCAAGGTAAATGTCACATTCCATGACGCCATTAAGTACTGTTCAATTACCTTTCTTTGATTCCCTTTTTGTAATTTGTGTGTTGTAGAAAAAGAAGATGGACAATAATTGTTTTCGTTATCCTGTAAATAGAAATCAGGGAGTTAGAAGAAGACCTGTGGTTGGACAAGGATGAAGATGAAGCGTTTGCTAAGCTCGTGGAAGACATGGAGACGGGAAAGGACCCCTACAAAGAATGTAACACATTGCCATAATATTTGTTTCACAGTTATAGGCTTGAACAATGCTCCTTGTTTGTTTGTTTGTTTGTTTGTTTGTTTGTTTTATTGTTGTCTGACACAGGGCTTTAATACTTTAACCACGATTTGTATCACCTTGACGCAACGGTTTTCTCTATATTCACATACTTTTCATGTCTTCACAGCCAACAAAACTCTATATGGAATAGGGCAGTTTGCTTCTTCTGTGACTCACCTGCCCAAAGATGAGCAGGAACTGGGTGAGTTCATTCTGATCCAGAGACTGAGATATAATCTACATGCTTTAATGTTACACACTGTTTGGACGTGTACTATGTTATAGGCACACTTAAATTGATTATAGCCACCCTTTAACGCTATCTGCTCTGGTGGTTTTCCTCTACATGCGAACGGCGTCAGTAGCGTAGTGCATCCTGGGACCTAATGCGCATAGTTCTCAGTGGTGCAATCCCCGTGCATTCCGCCCAGTGGCGTCATTATCGACTAATGTCACGTCTAGCATCAACGTGGGTAGCTGACAGAATCATTTACTACTAACAATGCTGTAACTAAATAGATCTACAGTCGAATGTTTTCCTTTCGAAATGGTTTTGTGGTGGCTTATTTTACGAGTAGCGAGAGTGTCAAAAAGTGTCAGGCATATATCCGGACATATTAGCGTTACTGGTCATGATTTCACACAGCACTGAACACCGTCCGTCTGGCTTTGTTCCGAGGAAAATATATTTTTCTCATGCCTTGATAACAAGGAGGGAGAAGGCTTGTTTCAATTACAAAAATAATCAAGGGCCCATCTTTTCTGCAGTTCGCGACCTTATCATGAACAGGTATGGAGAAGAAAAGGGCAAACGGCTGCTGGACAAGATGCACGAAATTAGCAACCATGTCGACGACTTGTTGGGTACGTTTGCCGATTTTGACAATGTTAGCATGTTTATCAAACGATCAAATCTAATGAGGCTAATGTGTGCAAAAGTATTACTAAAATGTCGGCTTTATGCCTTTTATAGTTCAGTTCAGTTCTGTAATTCTCAAGTCTTTTATGTACTTTTATATCAGAAACCGATTGGGCATATACGGACGAAGTGCTGGACACAGAGGAAGAGGATGTTGGGGAAGGCAGACAATTCTGGAAGAATCTTGGAGTTAAAGTTCCAGACGCGTTATTAGTAGGTGCGAAGGGCTTCTTTCGTAACTTTGTTTGCCATTGGCAATATGACTTCACTTGAAATATGGCCGCTTGTTTCTGCATGCTCATTGCTACATGTATGTCAATGTTAATATGTAAGGTCATTGCACTGACAAGATTAAATGGGAAAACCGACTCTTCTTTTTCTGCCCAGAAAAGAATATAAAAATGCACCGTAATGTAGGAAATCTACTATTCTAGGTCAGGTTTAGCAAAGTAAAATATTCCCTGATGTGTCCTGTCCTCAGAGGACCCGTGGGCTACTGGTGACCCGGCTCTGGAGGAAGCCTGGAAGGAGGAGGAGGAAGAAGAAGAGAAAGATGCCGAACAGACAAGCCGTTTCTGGAAGAATTTAGGCGTAGGGGCACCTGGTACTAGAAATGAAAAATAGGCAAGTTCGTCCAAAATCTAATGCAGTTTTCAGGCGGCAGCGCTATCGACATGTTTTTTGTGTAATCATGTGGATCATAATTTAATGTGGATCATAATTTAATTCAAAAACGCTTGGAAGTACTAGTATTCACACAATGTCATATGGAAGTATCAACAAATGTAAACAAAGCAGTGTTATTGCGATGAAGTCAAGTATGAAACTCTTACTAAGGCAGATATTTGTCGTGTACATGTATATCAGATTTATACACCATACACTTATAGGCCACATCTTATATACTATACGCCATATATACGCCTATTGGCAGTGCCGTACGTATCATGATGCTTACCTATTATCGCCAATAAAGTACTTTGAAGTCTTTGACATAGAATGTAACGGCATTGTCATTATTACTTACTCGGCAAAATGGTCGATACCCACAACGGAAAAATTCCAATATAAATGTAGGGATCAGTACGCTTTCACATGCGACTATTATCAGATGACTACTGTGAAGCGAAAGTAACGTACAATTCTACAGAGTTCGCTGGAATAACACTGTGAAAATAACAATGATACTAGTAGCGTAAATCGTGTGTAATCCGATCTAATTGTTGTGAAACGTAAAACATGGAGAATTTGATATCTCCTGATAAACTGACTTCACTGAAAGGGTTACTCACAGATTACGCAAAATTCGTTACTTTAAGAAGATTATATAAGAAGCATATCAACTGTGACGACAATAATGTGCGTGTGTAGGTAAGTTACATACATGGTATGGTCAGTACCCCCGGGCATTCAGAGTCCTCAGTAAGCACAGTAAACTTGAAAAACTACTTCATTAGTTCTACTCCTGCGCGAAGCCAGGTGACACGTCGTCAGCTGAACTCTTGTTGCGGCTTGTATACATATCAGATCGTACAGCACAAACAGTCATAATGAAGTTTCAGACGTTTTTTCTGGCTCTGGGCGTTCTGCAATGTGTTCACTGTGTCCCTGTTCCACAGACGGCGGAGGAAAACGAACAGGAACGTGAGTAAATATCTTGTTGTGTAACTGTCACGTACGAGGTTTTGTATTCTGGGATAAATACATCATCGTTCGACATGACTCATAGCCGTGTGAATGACATGACAATGAGCTGGTTGTCTAGAGAAATTCTGTACCGATACAAAAGTTTTGGTAAACCTGATGTTAGATTTTTTCAAACTTACTCAGATTTTGTCCGTTCTTATCATGGCGGATATGGACCCGAGTTATTTGACCTTAAACCTTATTTGACCTGTCGTGGCAATTTACCATTGTCTTATTGTTGCGTCAATTCTGTCAGTGTATTTTTCCTATGGACCACACGTCGTTTGCATTTCTCAATGAAGTACTTTAACGTTATCAATACGACTCGTAACTAGAAATACCACATTTGCGAGTAACTACGGCATATTTCACTCCATTCAACTTCCTCAAACGTATTAAGCCCTGTGGGCGTATGTCCTAGGCACCACGATACCGAATTTTAGGTCATTTGGTTTGAATACCAGGGCAAAGTGAGAAGGAAGAAACACAATGGAGCTGAACATAAAAACAATATACTCTGATGTATGGTATGGAGCGAATAATAGAAACACTATGTTTCACCCCAATACCTGTGGTATGGAATGAAATATAAAACTGATAACATGTATGGAGTGAAATGGGGTGTAATGTAACAAGTCCAAGACGGTTCTATCAATTGGTAATCATGAGCACAATATTCAGTTTGCAGACATCAGCAGTGATATGGTGGGCTGTAGTTATGGTAACTCGCATGATTGCATAATGGTTTTCCTGTCCAAGGTTATTCACTCCAAAGAATTGAATTTCTGAAAAGTTAGAAACATTGGTCAAAACAAAATTTACGAATAACCTGGTAATGCAAACATTTAAATCATTAGTTTAGTATTCCTTGCCAGCAATGCACCACCCAAAGGCAACAGAATCTTCAATTGGTTGAAGGCGGTTGCCCAAATGAAAGAAGAATGCTATATGGAACAGAGAATAGTGTCGATAACAGATATGGATACAGTTCACTACAAGCAGTCTATAATGTGAACCATGGGTTGCATCTTGATGTACACGTATTACACATGTTGAGCAACAGCAGTTTGTCTATGTACTGTTTCATATTTCCCTTCAGTGATGCACACATTAAAGGAAGACTACAATCTCAGTGATGAGGAGGAGGAGGCTTTCCAAGGACTCATCGACGACGAGGAGGGGAAGACGGACCACGAAAATGACAGTAGGTTTAATTTCTTCATTTCTGAAAATCGCTGACAAATTATATCATGATCTAACGGAACAAAAGACTTTCCCAATCCCATATAACATCATCAAGTCATATCACCTATGGAATAATAAAGGCCAGGGTATATCAGCCCTCATAAACCCTGCTTGTCCGATCCTACAGTGAATGAATCAAACTACTCGTCTCCATCATGATGTTTTGGTGAGAAGATATGCTAGTATTATTCATGTAACTCGTAACCTTTAAGTGCATGGCTTAAGGGTGCTGTCACTCGGTAATCATTGACAAAAAAAGCTAGACATGGTCCACCTAAATTATCATTAATTTGTTGATGGCAACCGTTTTTTTTTTATTCATTTCCACAGACGTTCCGTTCCGTATGCAGGTGATGCAAGTTTTAGAGAAATTCAAGGTACTCAGCGATGAGGAGCTTGAGCGAGGTGAATACTCTTTTCTTTCACAATCCTAAACGTATTTACATGCCCAACGCGCGTGCTGTTTGTATGAGTAATTTCACTTAGCGAAGTTTGTGATAGTTCCAACAACTTCATTGTTTTATACCTACCAGTTGTAAATCGTTTAGTAACAAGACGAACAGCATGAGAG